ATCCGAAGAAGTGGGCTGTAGTCCACGAAAGCTTATGCTCTAATAAATTTGTTAGTCTCTAAGGTGCCACAAGTACTCCTGTTCTTCTTTTTATATAAACACAGTTACTTTTATCAACCAAATTTATAATCTCATCAATAAAAGATACCAAGTTCCTTTGAAAGGGCCTATTTTCCACAAACACAGGCAGATGCTATGAGTAAGAGGTTCCTGTCTTCTTATTTTAGATGGGAAACTGATTATAGTTTGTAAACCAAGATTGTTTAGACTGGTATTACTTTTTATTCTTAAGGGTATGTCTGGGGGGGGAGGAGGTGTTGCACGAGTTGTTTAGTACTTTGTCTATTTGTTATTCTTTCAAGTGTGGGTCACTTTTTTTTATTTTTGTATACAGCACTTTTCTAGTCCTAGATTATAAATACATTTTATCTATTTATTTGTTTTCCCCTATCAGGGGGAAACAGCCTTTAAAAAAAAATCTGAACAATAATATAAAAAAAAGAAGGGGAGGGAGAAGAAAGAGTCTAATATGACTGCCTTTGAAGCACAATACCAAGGAGATGCCCTTTGCCATGGTAAATTTAAAAACCTACAGTAAGAGTTAACTTTGTTGTAGAAGAATCTAATTTACTTTGGCCTCTATTGAAAAAAATCCACTGAATAGTATTGTGTCTCCAGTTGATCAGATAGAGATCAGACATTGTCACAACCCCGCAAAGTCATAAAACGCACATCTCCTTTCATTTTCCATTGTGAAATTGCAAATTATAAATGGCAAAAGGCAACTCAACAAACTACACATCCAGAATAAACCCTCTGGGAGTGCAGGCAAAGCAGATCTCTATACTAGCTCCAAATAAGATGGCACAGAGGGGCCATTCAATCCACACTTATGCCTGGGTTTTATTTCCTCTAAACATCTGCATATTCCCCTGCACTAAGCCCCTTTACTTGAGCTTTACCCAGGAAGGGATGAATTCAAACCTCCAAGGCACTGTCTAAATTAGGGGAAAAGGTGGTGTTTTAAAAACATATTAGCTAACATGGTTTTATTAACACAGTTTTAAACACTACTTAGCACCTTTTGTAGAGAGGATTTAATACCTTTAAAACCATGTTAGATAGTTGTAGTCCTCCATTGATTCTGTTCTCAAACCAGTACAACTCTACCAGTGCATATGAGAGGAAAATCAGGTCCTAATTATGGCTCAAATTCTGCACACAGGGCTTGTCTACACATGGAATAGCTATTCTGCTTTAAATTCACACCCTACTTTATTCTAGAATAACTTTCATGTGTAGACAACTCCCTAAATGGGACTAATCACATACTTAAAGTTAAGCATGTGTATAAGTGTTTGCAGGTCTGTGTTTGCTTACTAGACACAATAAACCCCTCTCTACACATTTTGTTAGACCATTGATCTTAGTTTTTATAAAAATCTCAGATTTTTTTCCAGCTAACTGAAGACCACCATGTTGACCCCAGCTATAATGGAATGATTGAGTGATCAACACATTTTTTTCACTATTTTAACATCTCATAATTATAATTATTTTACATCATGTTTTAATAATTATTAGAAAATTAAATATTGTCTATTTCATGGGAAGGAAGAACATCCTGAGGTGTTTTCCTTTATCAGAACAAATCACGTTTTTGAGACTCCCCTTACATTAGTTCTGGTGCACCACTGAAAAGACAAGCTAATGAGCAAAATGAACCATGACATGCATCTCATATAAACAGAACAAGAAAAAAACAGTAAAATTATGATACTATGCGGTTATATCAAGACTAAAATATCTATGATAAATGTGACATCATTTATTTCTTCTCTGCTTGTCCTTGTTTCAGTAAAACTGGCTGATACATGGAAATAAAAGCAATAGAATGAAGTTTCTATATAGCGTTTTCTAGAAAAACCTCTTCCAAACATTGTATCATTAAAGGCAACATCTAGTTTCATTTATTAATGCAGTTCTAGCAAACTCTCTAAAGAAAACAAAGTTTTTGACTGAGAAATATTAGATCATTGTTTTCATGATTTAGGCAGATTTAGAAGTCAATATAATGGATGAAAATTAGTATTGGGGTGTATGCCTGTATTTGAGCTATGTGTCTGTGTCTTAAAACAAAGAGAAAAATATAAACCCTACCCGCACAGCTATTAACATGTGTATGAACACCACTCTCCTCATCTTGCCCACAGTCCTGCAATAGTGGGCATCCTCCCAACTGCCAGGATCTCTACCTGGTCCCCTCGTAAGGTAAGGTGGGAACCAAGAAAAGCCCATCTTCCTTCCACTTTACCCATTTTTCAGTGTGTGCCTTAAACTGCGTAGTAATCAATGATCTAATTTGGTCATCTGACTGGGATTAGGAATATCAGAAAGGGCCTGGATTGCAATCCTACCTCTCCCTGACCGTATTATTGTATTATGGTCCAACATGTTACTGCAGAGGTTGAGAGAGCCATTAGGGCCAGGAGAAATGTGAACTATGAGAAATGAGAAAGCCTTTCCTGGATTATGTTTGCGGCACCGTAGCACATTGAACATAGCCTGAGATTACCCAGGGCCATTCCATTCCAACACAATTCACCTTTCAGACATTGGGAACAACTTATTTATTCTAGACATTAAGATTTGCTTGGAAGGTTGGCTGTATGCAAATTGTCTTGGTTACTAGCCAAGCAGTCACTAGCAGCATCTAGTGGCAAGATGGTTCTAGTGGTGGAAATATGTAGGCCAATTAGCAATTAAAATGGGGTAAAAGTGGTTGGAATCTCTCAATTTGAAGCTATGAGGTTAGAAATTGAAATACCTCAGGACACTGATCCGCAATGGCAGAAAATGCTGGAGAGCAGTTTAAGGCTAGTTAGACCTCTTTATGAGTTTAGAGTGAATAAACTAAGTCCTGGAAGGTAGCATGGCCAAATCAATCCATGGACCAGTCAGAGGGGATATTGGAATCCCCCAGTTTTCACTGAGAACATGGAAAAGCTATGGTTGAGAGGTTGGCTGCAGGTTCCCCTTGTTGCAAGAACTATGTCTTGTTTCCCTGCATTGATTTAATAGTTATATGAAATAAAGTTACAGTCTGTTCCATGTTTCCCACAAAACAAGTGCCCTTTTAAAGAACATAAGAACGGCCCTACTGGGTCAGACCAAAGGTCCATCTAGCCCAGTATCCTGTCTTCTGACAGTGGCCAATGTCAGGTGCCCCAGAAGGAATGAAAAGAACAGGTAATCATCAAGTGATCCATCCCCTGTCACCCATTCCCAGCTTCTGGCAAACAGAGGATAGGGCAGGAGTGAAAGTGGGCCAGTCCGGGCCGGTATGGGTATGGCGCACCGGTAAAAAGTGACCGCCAGTCCGGCCCGTATGCAGCCAATGTTAAAGCGCTGCTCCCTGTCCCCCAAGCCACCAATGGAAAAGGGGAGGGGAATGAGCAGCTGCCCTGGGGCCGGCAATTTAAAAGGGCCCGGGGCTCCCAGCCACCGCTACCGCCCAAGGCCCCGAACCAATAGTGTACAATGTTACTTTCACCCCTGGGCTAGGGACACCATCCCTGCACATCCTGGCTAATAGCCATAGATGAACCTATCCTCCATTAACTTATCTAGTTCTTTTTTTAACTCTGTTATAGTCTTGGCCTTCACAACAACTTATAGCCTGGTAAGTAAAAAGCTATATCCGAATAACCAGTAATTAAACTGCATACTTTCACTTACCACACTATAATCCTAATCCTGCTCCCATTGATGTCAGTGAGAGGAGGCTCAAACCCTGTATTGTGAAATTCCTCTTCCATTCACTGAATTAACAGAGCTATATTTTTAAATTAGGATCATGTTTGACATGAACAATTCAAATTCTACAAATCTGATGTATTTTTCCTCATCCTATGTAACTATTATTCTGTTTCCAGAAAAATCTTTTTCTAGCCCAATAAATAACACAAAAAGTAAAGTAATTCTTTGATAACAAAAATAATTAAATAGCAGGAGCAGGTTAAAGATCAGCATTCATTTTTCAAATTAAATTTAAAAGCCTGCTCTAGTTACTTAAAAGATTGGCAAGTTTTACAAATAACATCACTGAGCCTTTTAGAGGGAAACACAGACGCATTAGAATGGAGTCATTAGGCAATACATTTATTTTGAAGCCAATTAACCTTTTGTCAGAGAAATGTCGGAGCCGTAATGGTTTCTGCAGTGGAGGTCAGCCTCTAACAGGGGCACGTATGACAGCGATTACGCTGCCTGACATATGCTGCAGACTGAGAGTACAGCCGTGGAATGAGAATTTGCCTTCGTTTGTATTCTGCTCTGCATTTCCAGGGAGCAGGCAATCTTGACCTATCCATTTAGGTAATTAAAGCTTCCATTTGGAAGTGTCCTGCAGGAAGGTGAAATCTGGGAGAGATAAATGGCTGCTGTTCACTGTATCCAGCTACTTCTATCATTTGATGGACTGCCTGAAATAGGCTGGGTTGCCAGGTCCTCATAGAAATAGAGACGAATTGGGCAGGAGACAATACTCTAAGGCAAAGCAACTCTGTCATCTTCCTTTTTGCAACATATAATTTAATTGTTAGCCAAGGTAGATGGCTGACTCAGGGGGCCTTTCTCTAACAGCTCCCCCACCATCTTCCATTTGCAAAGAAATTACTCCAGTTTATTTACTTATAAGCCAACTTTGTTTGGCAATGAGATATGTCACTTCAATAAATGCAGCTGGCTGTTACAGCTGTGCCCTGACTTACCTTCCAGGCTATTTTATTTCCTCTTGTATCATGCTCAAGGGCAATTGGGAAGTCTCCTCGCTCATAAAACTTGCGAAATGCTGTAGGCTTTGTTGGTCTTTCTTTAAATGCTCCTGCAACTGGGGGTCCTCTTACCTAAAAAAAACATAAACAAACAAACCATAATGCAACTGCATTTTTTAAATAAAAATGCTGAAATTTGTTTAGAAACATTAGTGGTTTAAAAGGGGTTGATAAGATAGCAGGTGGCACTGATTTCACTCTTCCCATGTTATACTTCTTTTAATTTAAGTGTTCTGTTAGGGTTTTTAATAGACATTAAAGGAAAGGAGTATTACTGTTAAATTTAGTATTATTCTTTAGAATTTTGTTTGCATTGTCCTGTAGGTACTAAATGCATTGTAAATGTTTTTTGGATCATCCGATGAAAAATTGTCTTTTCATTTTAAACTTTGCATCAGTTTCCACACCTTTTAAAAATAGAAATAATACTACATGCTCACAAGTTTTACAATACTGTACATGTTTTAGGAGGTTTAATTACTTCTGGTTTGTAAAGCAGTTAACATACAAAGCAATATATAAGTGTAAACTATTTTTTATCAGCATCTAGAAGAACACGTCTCCTTGGGAAGCATCTTTCTATTTGCTTTAATATGAAAGTAAGACACAAATCACTTCCCCTTTGCTTTTTGGCATGGGAGAGGGAAGAGATACACACAAATACAGGCTACAGCAGTAGGTAGATGTTTAAGAGGGAGAGGTTTCTAAGCAGTCCTGAATGTACAAACAGCATGTTTTTGGCAATATGGGCTTTAGGAGGTGTGTCCAAGAGGAGGGAGTGGAGCTGGAGTAGGACACCAAACACAATAGTATCCTCCTCGTAATGTGCAGAATTTTTTTCACAATGTCTAGTTAAAGTTAATGTGACCCCCATCAGCATTAACTTCTGCAAAAAAAACCATTCTGTGACTTCTATAAGCAAATTCACTAAAATCAATGCATTAATACTGGTGTAAAAGAAGAATCAGGCCTGGAAATAAGGCCTTGTCTCCATGGGAAAATGGACCAGCATAACTATTATGGAAAAAGTAGTTCCAGAATAGCTCCCCATTGTGATACTTTATTTTGGAATAAAAATGAGTTTATGTCCCCAATCCCTCATCACCAATGGGGACTGCAACTTGGGGGCTCTGCTTATTACAGGGGGCACTTTCCCAGTCAGTAGAGATGAAGTGCTAGACCGGTGTAGCAGACATTAGTACATCTTAGCCTGGTCCTGCCCCCTTGCCACCAACAGGGACAATGATTGGCAGCAGTGGTGAGTGAGAGGGCTCCTCCTATAACAGAAGGCATTTCCCAGAAAGCAGGGACTTGTGCTTGTTTTTTTGTTTTGTTTTTTTCTTTGTAATTTTGTTCATCTGCCAGTCACCCATAGCTCCTCAACACATGCATCTTCTGCATCATAGTATCCATTCATCCTCTTCCTCCCCTGCCCCTCCCATCCCCTTCCCTCAGTGGCTCCATCTTGCCTTATCCCTCTACAATCCCCACCATCTCTACCTACTCCTCTTCCCCTCTTCGCACTGATCTCCTACCTTCTTCCACCAGCACAAATCTAGGTCCCACATCCTCCTCCATATGTCTGGTGACATTTGTCCTAACCCTGACTCTCGCACCACTCCCACCATTTGCACCTCACACATGCCTCCCCACCACTGCCTCTGCTTCTCTTGTGCCATCATTCCTAAAGTCACACCTATACCCCTTTCCTCCCTTTCCTTCTCATCTCCTACTGCCTCCACTTCTCTCTGCATAGGATCTTGCCCATTTCCTCCAAGAGAAAATTAGCATAATACAACATGATCTTCTCCTTCCCCTTGGCTTGCCTTCCTGTCCCCTCCTACACCTCTTCTCCTTCTTTCTTATCACAGATGCAGAAGTTTCTTGTCTGCTCTCCTCCTCTAACCTCATCACTTGCCTCAGTGACTCCACCCCATTCTCTTTCCTGATCTCCCTCTTGTCCACTCTCATCCCCTCCCTCTTGCTCTTCTCTTTAACCTGTCACTACCTCTGGTGCTTTCCCCTCACAAAACAAAGCTTTGGTCTCTCCCATTTTAAAAAAAAACTTACCCTTGGTCTCATTTGCCTCTCCAATTCCCACATTTCCCTTCTCCCTTTCATCTCTAAACTTAGTCAACACACTGTCTGCAATCACTGACTGGAGTTAGTCTCCTCCAATGCTATCCTAGACCTTCTCCAATCTGACATCTGCCCCTTGTACTCCACGGAAACGGCTCTTGCCAAAATCTGTAATGATGTCTTTCTAGCCAAAGCTCATAATCAACACTACATACTCATCTTTCTTGACATGTCTTATATTCATAGATTCCAAGGCCAAAAGGGACCCTTGTGATCACTGACACAATCAGTCATGGTCTTCTTTAAGTCCTGTCCTCTATTGGCTTCTGTGACTCTTAATTCAGACCTCTCTCTAACTCCTCATATCTGTGTTCCATCTAAGTATTGAAGATTTTTTTCAATAACATTTATATATTATGGTCTTTTCTATCTATCTACACACCTAAAACTGTCATCCTCGCTTTCAGTATCTTGATTATTCCAACAACCTTTTGCTTGGCCTTGACAAATCAATCTTTGGCCTGCACATATCCATTCAGAATGCTGCCGCAAATATCATTCTCCTAACCCATTGCTTTGACCATATTAGCCCTCTCTTTGCATCCTTCCACTGGCTCCTCCCTATCATGCCAAACAAACTACTTTTCTTCACATTCAAGGAGCTTCATGGTCTATCCCCACCCTGCCTATCATCTCTCATTGGCTATCGAGATGTTAACCACTGCCTCGACTTAGGCAATGATGCCAGTCTTCCTCATCCACTTGTTTTTCAGGCAAGCACTTTTGCGCTTTCTCCCATGATGCCCTTCACTTGAGAGGAGCTCTCCATAAGTATCCAGAAAGCTACCTTATTACCTTCTTTCAAATTCCTCCTTAAAACCCTCCTTTTCTTCGATGCCTTACAATAAACTTGCAACCATTAAGCCATGGGTGTGCTGCTACCACTATTTATCATGATGACCAATACTGTCTGATTGTTTCCTTGTACTCCCCAATATATGTGTCTGTATATGGCTGGTGTTTAATCTGATATTTAGATTATAAGCACTTTGGGGCAGAGACCATCTTTTTGTTCTGTGTTTGTATAGTGCCTAGCACAATGGGGTCCTGGTCCATAACTAGGGCTCTGAGGAACTATGATAATATACATAAATAAATAAATAGGCAATTTTATTCCGGAATAGTGTCCATCCAGGAGAGTTATTCCAAAATAGCTCAATTATACTGGAACAGTTATTCCGAAATAGATATGCCAATCAATTTTCCCTGTGTAGATAAGGCCTAACTTTCCCACTTCCACGATTCTTCCTTTATAGGGGATTCTTCTGAAAGAAGACAGGGTCAGGCAAATATCCTTTGCCTAATATTTTTTCTTCTTGTAGGATAGGTTTTATTGGCTGAGCAAAGTGAGGTCTCAGCAAATGGAGGACTGTGGTGCTTTTACCGAGCAGTGGGTGTGCAAGGGTCTGGACTGGAATAGCCAGGATTGCTTCAGATCAGGAGCTATATTAGCTGAGTAGGAATGAGGCTGGAAATTTGCATAGTAACTCCCCTCACACTATCTCTGGCACAGACAAGATCATTTACTTTTGTCCAGTCAAAACTATTTTTGTTCATATAAATAGTGCTCATTTGATGCAGAATCCTTTGCCTGCAGTACCAAATGGGTCTGTCAAGGGGAGAGATGGTCAAGAAAGGCAGTAGAGTTAGGGTTTAAGGTTAGGGTTAGTGTTACTGGAGGGAGAGAATGAAGTTTGGTGGAGTTTCCCCTGATGTCACAATGATGCTGTTCAGGCTCCTCTGCCTAAAGCACCAAATGAGCACCATCAAGGGGAAGCTGTTGATATGAAATTGATAAAACAACAAAGAGAAGAAGATGACTTAAAAACCACAACATTTTTGTTGGAAACTTAATTTTTTTTTAAATTTCCTACCCAAAAATTGGCATTTTCCAACCAGGTCTAAGAGGACAATTACTTATGTATGTAGTGCTGATGAAAGATTTGATTCTGTTTATTTAAAGCAACCCAATGTCTTATAAATGCATACAGTATGTCCCTATTCATTTAAAACACAAAAATGTTCAAATTATCTTTCTCAGAACCTTCCAGGTATATGAGTTCTCAACCTTTAAGTGGGGGCAAATGTTGTGATTGGGACAGTGGAGTAAACTAAACAATACCGCATAATCTCTAAATATTAAAAAATATACAACATTAAATTTCATCTGCCATTTTGTTGCCCAGTCACCCAATTTTGAGAGATCCTTTTGTAGCTCTTCGCAGTCTGCCTGGGTCTTAACTATCTTGAGTAATTTTGTATCATTTGCAGATTTTGCCACCTCACTGTTTACTCCTTTTTCCAGATCATTTATGAATATGTTGAATAGGACTGGTCCCAGAACAGACCCCTGGTGGACATCACTATTTACCTCTCTCCATTCTGAAAACTGACCATTTATACCTACCCTTTGTTTCCTATCTTTTAACCAGTTACCAGTCCATGAGAGCACCTTCCCTCTTATCCCGTGGCAGCTTACTTTGCATAAGAGCCTTTGGTGAGGGACCTTGTCAAAGGTTATCCCTACATGTTATGGATTCCATTGTTATACCTAATGACAAAGGCATTATGAAAGTTTTCCATTACGTTTTTAACAAAAAAACCCTCCCTTTTACAACTTGAGAAAAATACTTCACTGCAATATTGTAGTTAAAAAGACTAAGATCAGAGAGTAATTGATCGCTTCCAGTTAATTAAAGGCTAATATTCACAATGGCAAAGTATACGAAGCAATAAACAGCTTTTGAGGTTCGTTAAATGCCAAAGATAAGTTGAAGAGTCTGGTAATTGCAAAAGTCCTTTAATGCAGTTCTATGCTACTGAATGTTATTCCTGCTATGTGACAAGATAAAAGATACAAGCCATTAAACAAAAAAGGGGGAAAAATCCACAATTTTTCCTTGCTTCATGGGTATTTAAAACCATTTGTACTG